AAGAATAAATCATTTAAAGAATTTTTTTTTTTTTTCTTAAACGATAGATTGCCTGCCCCAACCAAACCCTTAGTCGATGTAGCAGTACATCCTTGCAAGTCAAGCTTTAAGATAAATGATGTAGCAGCATTCCGTTGTGAGTCAGGCTATAAGATAGTTGATGTAGCAGCACTCTGTTGCGAGTCAGGCAATAAGATAGTCAATGTAGCAACACTTCCTTGTTGCAGCTGGCTATAAGATAGTCAATGTAGCAACACTCTGCGCATGTTTTAAAAATATATTTTCATAAAACATAAACAAAACCACTATTAATTAAAAAAAAACTTTCTAGTCATTATTATTGCGGTTTTTTAAAAAATGATAAAATTTAATGTATTTCCGCATTAATTTAATTGCTTTGACTTTTCAACGACAATAAATTGTAGCTTAATTGTCGAAGTAGCAAAATTGTTGTCAAAAGAGACTTTTTTTTTTTGACCATAAAAGTCTCTTTTGACTACGAGATAAGTATATATATATATATATATATATATATATATATATATATATATATATATATATATATATATATATATATATATATATATATATATATATATATATATATATATATATATCATTGGCAGTATTCTAATATATATTGTTTTCTGCATTTTTTGCATTCTATTTTCTATTAGTTTCTATTAAATTATCATCAAACTTTTTTTTTCTTCAACAAGTTCATCCTGGCCAGGCTGCAAGCAACTGCTATTTGAGTTGGGAGAAAGTGTTAACAGAAGACTTAAAAAACTATTGAATATGAGTCAGGAAAGCTGAAACTGATGATGGAGGACAACTTTAAAGCATTGCAGTTTTAGAAGAAAAAGCTAGAAAAATAAATATTTTTTGAGCATGAAGAAACAGTTGCATTAAGAGAATGCAACTTTGCTGAAAGACAAGCTGTGCATGAATGAGTTTTGGTTGATGAAACATAAGATAAATGCTTGCTTGACCAGCAACCATGGTAGTAATTGCTATCGTTACAATAGAAAGTTAGCAATTACTAACATGATGAGGACTAATTAAGAATGTTACCATTCATTAAATTGGAATATCAAAATATTGCAATAATTATTAGCAATAAAATTAGTTTGAGTAAACAAGTTTAAACTAGTTTGCCTTTGCAAACCCTAATCTGTTACATAAGAAAGATCAAATTCAGGATTAGCTAAATGTTATAATTAATTATTTTTTGTTAAGACTGGGGTCTTGTTACCCTGCTTTCTAGCAGGCTGGAAAACAACATTCAAAGGTCTGTTAAATGGTATTAAAAACAGTTTTGCAGGATATGTTGATAACACTATGACAGGCAACAAGAAAAATGAAAAAATAATATTAGCAACAGAACCAGGGGTGATTTGAATAACAGAGGATCAGTGTGTCTCTTTGTGATGACAAGAAAAGTGTGATAGTTAGGGTTTAAGAGTTGGAGGAAAGTTTTTTGCTAATAGTTTTGAATTTTAGGAGAGTTAATAAGATCAGACCCATGTATGAGAGATGAAAGGTTATATTTAATTGTGACGTTGATAAAATCTTTCAAGAGTTGCTAGAACCTAGAATCTGAGGGTAATATATATTATATTAACCTAGAATCTGAGGGTAATATATATTAATAATATTTGCTGATGAGAGAGTTATTTTTGTGGATAAAGATAGAAATAATTAAAATTAGAAATAAAATTAAAAAAAAAGAATGATAAAACCATGGTGTTAGAATGAGGCTAGACTTTAAACTGTGTTGTTCATGTTTTGATAAAAAAAAATTTAATTTAAATGAAAAGTCATTATTAGAGAAATTGATCCAGTGCATTGCACCATAAGCAATAAGTTGCGCATTAACAGAAATTAATATTTTCCTTGTCTATTTTTAGGAGAAAAAAACTATCAATTGGTCTAATATTTAATTGATAGATTTCAGTTTTTTGGAATGTGGAAATGAAGTTAACTTAATTAAGTTTTTATTTTTGTGTCATAGCATGTTTTGCAGATGGGCTCAATAATTAGTCTTGTGTTTCTGTTTTGAGCACAGAAGGTTGGATGTAGTGACACAAAATGCTGTTTATGTTCTTATGAATCCTAAATTGTGCTTAAAATAAATTAAATAAATGGTTTGGAAATAGAAATTTAATTCAAACTAAAAAATATCAAATGCACAATTTTTGTTTTGATATTTTATTTATAGACATTGATTAATTACAATCAATAAGCAATCTACAAAAAGAATAAAATTTGAAATTTGAGCTAAAAAGAATGAGTGAAAAAGGAGTTTTAAAAATTTAAATTATAATATATATTCAATTTAAAAAATATTTTGATGAAAATTAAAAGTCAAGACATTCAAAGTGTTTTTTTAATAACAAATAAGTTACAATTTTAAGTTACCTGAAGTTTAATTTAAATTCCTTTAGGCTTTAATTATTTATAGGTTCCCCTCTTGTTTTTAGTCTAATGAGCATTTTGCTGATGGTATTAGATTAAAGACAAGACTTAATTGGTTTTAAAATTATTTTTAGCAATCACATCAACCTATCATCAACTTTATTATTTTTTAGCCACCACGTGATAGTCATCCTGTCATAAAGTTTCAGTGTAAACCTTGTGAAGCAATGATCATTGATAACCTTCCATTTGACAAGTACGAGCTTGAACCTTCACCTTTAACTCAATATATACTTGAACGAAAACAACCAAATATTGCATGGCAGGTTAGTTTTTCTTTTTTTCTCCTCTCTACCTGTAAACTTTTGTAATTGTTTATGTTTTTGTCTGTCTATAAACATGTGTAATGATTTTTGTTTGTTGATGTTGATAATTTCATAGGTATATTATTTTTGAGACATTTTTATTTTTAAGGTGTTTGTTAGTGGTAGCTCATGTGATTCTGAGATTGGTTATCCATTTGGTTACTTAAAAGCTGCTACGAATCTTTTGTGTGTAAATTTGTTTGTCCTTCCATATAACTACCCAGTGGTTATGCCGTTGATTGGTAAGAATTTGATTAGTAATAATCATTTATGACTTGTTAAATTATTTACAATTTAAATATGATCTTTATTCTCACCAACAGTCTGATTAAAGATTATTCATTTAGTCAGTTAAAGTGACAAAAGTTAAAAACTTGAAGTTTTGAAGAATCATTTCTAAATTTACAATTTTTTTTTCTTTCTTTGTGGGTCTTCAAAGTTTTCAGTGTTTTATAAGCATTAATGGTGTCGTATTTTTTAATAAATCAATAGTGAAAGTACCATTATTCTAAGCGTTAACAACCTTTTATTTATTATAATCTATTTTCTAAACGAATAAATAGCAGTTTTATTTTTATTATTATTATAAAATATTTATACAGGAAAAATATATTTATATTCACTTCTGTTAAAAACTGCTATAAACTATGTATCCTGTAGTAACAGGTAAATAATCTAATAAAGTAAAGACATAATTACAAAATAATTGATGTTTTACTTCTACATTATTGTTTTATTTTATTTATTATTATTTATTTTTTTGTTTGGTTATCTTTATAATTTTTTTTTCTTTAAGATGAATTGATAAAAGTACACAAGTGTAAACCTTCTCCAAAATGGCAGCAGTCTTTTGAGCAATATTTAAGAAAGATGCCAAGTTATTATATTGTGGTATATTTTTTGTAACTTTTTAGACATATTATTACTAGTTTATTTTATTTAATAAAATTAGAGTCCTCAAAAGTTTATTTATAGTTTATTATAGAAATTATATGATGTTATAGATAACTTAAATTTTTTTTATTATTATTATTATTATTATTATGTTTAGTATAAAGTAAATTTCATAATATAATAAATTTTTAGTAAATTATAAAGATTTAGGAATTTTTTGAAATTCAAATCTGTTAAAATAATATATAAGAAAATTCAAGTGAACAATTTATTCTGTATTTTTAACTGAGGCTTGTTCTATGTTTACAAAGCTATATAAAAAAAAAACAATTAAAAAACAAAGACTGCAGGCAAGCATTACTAAAGTTGATTTTTTTATTTGATCAGTTATAAAGTTTTTCCTTAAAATTTAATCATAGTATAAATAAATTTAAAGTTTAGATCAATTGTATCAATAATGTAAAACATAACATAAAAAAATGGAAAATATTTTTGTCCTCAAAAAAGTTTTATTTCAAAAAGAACTTTTCAAAAGATTTGTTTAGCTATAGAAATTCATATTGTTTATGCATAGAAATTCTTCTAACCTCTGTTTCTTGTGGGGTGGAACTATACAAATTTAAAAAATATATGAATTTTAAGAATAAACTAAATTCCTGCGATCATTTTCACATTTGAAAACTACCTGTACTCTCTTCTATTTTTATTTAAATTTAGTAAGAATATATATATTTTTTTTGCTTTATATTAACTTAAGTGGAAAAAAAACAGCCTCTCTAAACTTGCTTGTGAGAAAGCTGTACAAGTTACTACTCTGCATGTCTCTGTATCCTTTTTGGGTATCCTTCAATTACCTCAAAAGTGATTTCACTTTTAAACATTTCTTTTCTTCCATAACTTTACAGTTATCCAGAAAATTTGTATTGTCAGTATTTTTATTTAAAAAATTAATTTTGGTCACACTTTTCCTTTTTTTCTTTTTTATCAACTTCTTTTTCAAACTTCATCTGAATTAGGTTCAATTAAAACTGAATGAAGTGTTGTATACGGCTGTTTTTCTTATTTCTTGACTTATATTTTTGTCATCTCTTTTGTAAGTTTTTGTTTTGTTTTGCTCATATATCTGATTCTCTTCTAACAGTATTCTACATCTAGCATCAACATAAACTGCAGCTAGAAATATATTATAAATTTTTTAGTTTCTTCACAACATACCAGACCTTTACCAAAAGTTTATGTTTCTTTTAAAGAATCACAATTAGCTGCAAAGTGTGAACAATGCAGCACATCAAATCAATCTAGACAATTTTACACCCTTCTTGGAAAACAATGGCTAGATATTTTACACTAACTGTTGCGCTTTCTTCCTCAATCATATCCTGTTGTAAATGGTCTTCATGTTCCTCATCTTGTATAGCTTCATCAAGAAAATTTTCATCATCTGAATTTTTATTTAAAAGCGTTATTGTTCCTATTGTTTTAAAGTAACTTATCATATACAGCAACATAAATGTATATGATAAGTTACTTTATAGCAACATGACTCATTACAAAAAACTATTTGATCAAAATAATTTCTAAAAAAACGTTAGTGCTTTTTTGAATTATTCAAAAACAACTTTATTTGAAGTATAATTTTTGTGTCTTAAGGGGAGCATCAATTATTTAACAGTGAATCTACGCATATCAATATCAAAATATAAAATTCTTTATTTAAAAATCATAAAACTTCTGACAGCTTTATTAATTACAGTTTAATTTAAAAAAAAATTAAATATAAAAAAATAAAGCCCTAAACCAGGCCTTAAGCTGTCTATCTTATTTAAGCCACAAGAAAAAAATTATCCAATCAAAAACTGTTAGTTTTTTGACTTAATCATTTTTAAAATTATTTTTAAATTAGTCAGGATCAGTAAGATACGGGTCATGGTTACACCAGCTATATCTAAATTTGTTCTTAATTCAGTCACTTTACTTCAATAAATTTTAGTAAATAAATTTTAAATTTAAAATTCTTAGCTTTTGGTTAGCCATTTTTTAAACAATAAAAATTCTCATTTTAAACTAATAATACCTAAAGCTGGATTATATAATTATATTACAGTAATTATGACATGTATATAAATATACTATGCTTCTTAAGGTTGTTATGACATGTATATATAAATAAGCTATACTTATCAAAGTTGTAATTAACTAATAAAACTACAAACATTTTAACAAAACCTTTGAGCTATTTTATTTTAAGCTCAAACAAAATATAATAAAACTTGATATGAAATATATGATTCAAAAAATTTAAAAAAGTCTCATTTAATAAATTTTGCTATAAAAATTATTTATTATTTACTTGCGCGCATTTCAAACTTTTTAAATATTGATGAAAAATGTGATGAATGAGAAATGTTTATTGGGTTAAATATATATTTAAAAAATTAAACATTACGCTTTAATTTCTTAAAGAAACTGAATCTAATGTTGTAGATATTTATCTAATAAAAATTTGATATTTATCTAATGAAAGTATTTGTCTATTGAAAATAATGAAACTAAACTTTGACGTTGTAGGAATTTATCTATTTATATATTCTAGACTATTATCTGTAATACCTTTTTGCGATATAATAAGTAGTCTTTGTTTTAATATGTGTCAGTTGTAAATATGTATAACTGAAAAAATAACCAATATAATAGGTGATAAGTAGAAAAATCATCACTGATAAAGCCTTTTAATATTTTAGTTAATTGAATTAACTAAAATATTAAAACTTAATAAGCTGTGCCACCATTACAATTTGTGATGAGCTGTGCAGCCATTAAATTTAAAAATATTAACTAAAAACTGTTATTCAATTTTAAACATTTTGTACAGAAAAATTTGTTGAATTAAAAACAAAAAAAAGCATAAGTATATTTTTTAAGAAGTTTTTAAAAATTAAACTTTATAAAATATAGCTTGTATTCTTCTAATTCTTTTTAAATTAGTAGGCTACTTATATATAATACATGATTATATATCTAATATAAAATTATTTGAAACTAATAAAAAATGAAAAACAATTTACTTTTTTATTTAAAGGTCATCATCTTCTATAAATATGACCAGTCTTTATATTTATATTCTAAATATATTCTTTATATTTATTCTTAAATATATTCTTAATATTATATTCTAATTATATTCTTTATATTTATATTCTAAATATTTATTTAAAGGTCATCATCAATTTCTATAAATATGACCAGTCTGTTAAACTAAAATTTCTATACATGAGCTACAAACCAGAACATTTTTTATCACCTAACATCTCTAAAAATTAAATTTAGTAATTTTTAAAAACAGATTTAAAAAATTACAAAAAACACATACTATTATTTTTATTATTAACACATTATAATTAAAAGAATATTCATATTTTTATTATTTATGATAATAATAATAGAGGGATTCAAAGATGTTTCAGAGATTTCTAAAGATTAAATAAAGTATAAAGAAAACTTTACCGCATACTATTTACAATTTCTCATATATCAGTTAATAGTGTCCCAGTTTTAAATTTCAATTTTAATGGTTGAATTTTTATTTTGATGGGTAAAATTACCATCTGCTAAGGTTGCTTTTCTTTATCATGTTTGCCATTTTCTTACTACTGATACCATTTTCTACCTCTACAAATCTCTTATTTTCCCTGTATGGAATTCTGTTGTCATATTTTGGCTGGTTTGATTTTTTGTTTAGAAGCAAATGATGCTTTTTCTCTTCTAAACAATAATTGCAAATATAGTTCAGGGATTATCTTTTTTGAAATAATTCCAGAATTCCGGATATTTTTTTTAACTTTTAGTTTTTCCGGATATCCAAAACATTTTCAATACATGCAAGTTGAGGTATATATTTTTGTAATACAATTGTTTTTTAAGCTTTTTCACTCATCCCCCATAGAAAAATTGTAAAAAGATTCAAAAAAAATTAAAAACAACTTAGCTAAAAATGAAATTGAAAAAAAAATAAGGGAAAACAAATTCAGGATTTTTTCTGGATATTTTATTCAAACAATTTTCCGGACTTTTAAAATATGACTAGGATGATCTATGGTAGTTGGACCCACTCTATCTGCTAAGCTTAAGCCTCTTTCCCATTGTCATAAAGTCGTCATCTCTTTCTCTTTTTTACAAATGCTATCATGGTTGCTGCTCAAAAAGGTTACCATCTCTAGTTCCATCAGCTAAAACTCGTTCTTGCTTGACTCATCAGCTAAGTCTCATTTATTTACTGTATCTGTCCCTGCATGCTCTAAAAATGTTTATTCGTCTAGTTTTGCATCTAGTTAAATAAATGAAGAGCACACACGCAAAAAAATGGTTATGAAAAAAAAAAATGATAATTTTAACTAATGGTAATTTTTTGTTTTTACTAATAAGAATTAAAATGATTTTATTATAAATTAAAGTTTAAATAAATTAATCAAAAAATATCTTTTTTGATATAGACTTTTAGTTTATATTAAAACTATACTTTATGATAAGACTTTTATAAATGATCAATATATACTTCCTCAAAACTTTTTAAATGTGCCTATGCTGTTTTTTCAGGTGCTCTTTTAATAATAATGTAATATGTTTTATGTATACATATATGTGTGTATATGTGTGTGTGTATATATATATATATATATATATATATATATATATATATATATATATATATATATATATATATATATATATATATATGTATATATATATATATGTATATGTATATATATTACATATTATTTATATTACATTATGATGGATACATGGGTAATATGATAAGCAAAATGAAGCATTTTTAAAACATTTTTTAACTAAACAGCATTAACAATTTGATTATATGCAGTTTGTTTGTAAAAGTGATGTTTTCTGTGCAAAGTTATGTTTTGTCTGCTTTGTTTTTTATAAAAAGTGACTTTCTATATTTTAAACAAATCAAATAAATAAAGTTTTGAGAAGCTGCATTTTCTGATGATAGATAAAAAATCTTATTTTTAAATAAAGTTTAAACAAATACATATTGAAATTTAGATATCCTATTTGTACCCCCATGAAAAATAGATATTACCCTAAATAACGTGCAATTTTTTACTTTCAATAATGTGCAATTTTTTATCTTTCTTAAAAATTATAAATTTTTTTGTCCTACTAAAAAATTGTTCATTTTTAAACTAACAAAGAAAAACCTCCAAGTAAATTTTGTTAAAACAAAACATTTTAAAGTTTGCAAGAAATGTTTAATCTTCATTAAAGTTAAACAATATAATAATCAAAGTCAGAATAATTTTTTTTTTTTTTCAACTTTTTTTTTTAAATCAATAGTGAGCATACAGTTATAAATCCGAGTAAATCACTGAAACTTTTGTAGCAATTTTCATTCAACACAAATAAAAATCAATTTAAAGGTTTTTAAGATCTTGGCAACTTAGTCTTTTTTCCATATAATTTGGTCCTTAAATTTTTTGTAAACAGTTAATTTTTACCTTTGTAAACTGTTTAGTTTTAAAACATTACAATTAAAAAATGACTAAGTTAGCAACTTTTATTTATCTTTTACAACATCACATTATGAGCTCATATTTTTTGAAATGCAAAATATTTGTTACTTGCTGATGACTCAACTTTTCTGTCTTGACAAAAACTTTTTTTGATTGCTTAGAACAGACAGCTGATCTAGAATCTGATTTCACTTCTGTAACAGAGGTTAAACATAAAGTTAAATAATTATGATAAAGGAAAAGGAAAGGTTAAAATCCGGGCTGTTGACTGATACAAGTTCAAATCCTGACATGGCCAAATCAGCGCTTAAGTACTACTTCGGTACGCAAAATGTTGGTCAAAAAACGGACGCTACTTTGGATTAGTCTTAATGACTGTTTGTGGTTGTTCCTATGCTAAGCCAACAATATCTTCGGATATAAGAACATTGTATAGAAAAATATAACATGAAAAACTCAAATAAATAAAAAATAATTTGTTATAATTATGTTTATATATTTATAATATAAAATCAAATAATTTTGTAAAAATCAAAAATGTTTCATTTTTTCAACGAAATATACTTAATAAATTTTTTATATATTTCAATTTTTAACATTTTTTTGATTGATTGTATCTATTGATTTTTTATAGTCACTTCAAAATGCATTTAAAAGAATGGGAGTTACTAACAACTTAATACCTGATCATTTTGATGGTTCCTTAAATTACAATATTCTTTCATATATGAAAAGAATCAAGCATCTTGGGAAAAATGAAGCAGAGAGGCTGATAAATATTCACAGTCAACAGAGCACAGCTGACCCCATCAAAATAACGTTACCATAGTACGTTTTTTATATATCTATTGCCATAGTACTCATTTTTAGAATTTGTTGTTTGAAGTTGTTATTTAAACATATTAAGATTTTTTTTTAATTTTTTTAATTTTTATTGTTAGTGCACCACAATTGACAGATGGTAAACAAAAAGATTTTAAAGCATTTTTGTTAAAAGAAAATGTTGCAATAAATCGTATAAAACCTGAACCAATTGATGACAAAACAAAAATGTAATTTTATTGTATTTATTTTTCTTATCTTTTTCAATATAAAAATGTTTAATTATGTATGTATGTATATGTATGTATGCAGTGGCGTAGGAAGGTTTTTAAATGTTTGAAATAACCAACTTATAAACAACAAGAATATTCCAAATTTTTTTACGTTTATATGTATGACAAAAAGATTCTTTTAAAAAAAAAATTACTGTGATAGGAGAATGGGAACAAAAAACCCTAAAATCTTGACCTTCCTGCCCCAAACATGAGTGCAACAAGTTAATGAAATATTTTTTGTACTATTTTCAATTAGACTTGTATTCATTAATAAATTTTAAATTTCATAGTAAAATATTTTAGTGTTCAAAAGTTATGACCATATAAAGTTTGCAACCCCCTCAAATTATAACTTTTGAACACTAAAATATTTTACTATGAAATTTAAAATTTCTTTACAATGAAGCTTTATTATATTGTGTTTTTCCATTTCAAACACTGTATAATAATGTATATTCTATTTGATATATTGTTTCTATTTTTAATATTTTAATTTCTCTATTTGTTAATCACTATTTATTAATCAATTTTTATATCTTGCAATTAAATTGTATAACATTAGTTTAACAAGTTACAATATTTAATAATAGTTAATCTTTAATTAACAAAAATGTTTATTTTTTATAGGACCACTGAGGAAGCTCAAGTTTTCATGTCTAGAAATTTACCTGCATTGGTTGAGGTACTTAAAGATTTATGTGTTTTATAAAAATTTCATTTAAAGTACTTCAATTTTAAATAAGTTTACAGCAAAATGCAGACCATTATCACTGTCTAATAAAAAAACAAACCGTCATCACTGTTTAATAAAAATAAAGACCATCATTACTGTTTAAATAAAAATGCAAACCATCATCACTTGAATAAAAATGCAAACCATCATCACTGTTTAATAAACTAACCACTTTGAAGGATTTAGATCCAGAAAAAGTTAATTCCTTTAATTTCATTTAGAAACTTGTTTAAAAGATTCATCATCTTTCAGTAGTTTTCTTTATTTTCAATGTACAGTGTTTTTAATGTTTTTCCATTTTTATAAAAATCTATTTTATATTACTATTACCTGTTTACTTGTAAAAAATATTTATAACTAAAATTATTGAAAACTTGTTGATCGGTTTTTTTATGTTTTTTTTGTATAAGAATTATGCAACTGCATTTTTTCAATTACATAACTACATTTTATATTAGTGCGCTCTGAAAATATTACTTAATAATTAATAAAAAAAGAAATGTGCACAATCAACATAGATTAAAAAATTTCCATTTTATGTAATGTATATATTTAATGGTCCGTAAACTTCTATTTTGCTGATTGTTCAAAAAAGTTTTTTAAAACTTAAAAAATGTAAAATATAGTCTCTAAATGAGCATTAAATTCATCTAAATTAAAAAAGTTAACAAAATTATACTTTAGAAACATTTTAAGACTATGAAATAAAATTGGGAGGTTCAAAATGGGATTGGTAAGCAAACTAATTTGTAACTTGAGGCTCCCAGACCATTTATTTACAAAATATAGTTGTTTCCTTTTTGCTCCACTTGTTGCACTTTATAGATCTGTTCAAAATTTTAAAATTTGTTAACTTTATTGTTATCTAAACTTTGTTATCTATATTAAACTATTTATATTTCATTTTTTTATACAGAGATTTCAAGTCCAAAGTTATAAGAATCCATTTGACATTCATCGTGGTGATATTATTGACCATGTTAACAGAATGAGAGCTAACTTTTTTCAAATGCCAAATATTCTAAGCAGCAGAATGCATGATGAGGGTATTGTTTTAAATTATTATGAATTTTATTTACTAATATCATTAAATGTTTTTTACCAATTTGTTTATAATTCATTCTTTAGAACAGTCATATTGATTTATGAGTACATATTTTAGCTGCTTTAAATGGTTTTTTTCTTGTTGCCTGTTATGTTTTAAACATAAAGAGACAAGAATATGATCCAATCAAAACATATTATTGTTCACATTAGTTTACTGAGTTTCTCCTCTATTTTTAAATATTAGCTTTACTGATAGACAATTTTTTATTGTAAATCTTACAAAAAAAGGTATATGTTAAAATTGTTTGAATTTAGAATTAAAACATTGCATTTCTATAAGCATGATGGGTAACTACAAAGAGCCGGAACTTCAACAAGTAAAACCTCTACGCGAAGTAGATTCTAGTCAAATTCGTTTGCATACCTTTGGAAATCCATTCAAGTTAAAAGAACAGGACCAAGTAAGATTTTTTTTTCTATAAATGCAATTGTGAAGATGTCAAATTTTTGCAATTAAGATATTGAAAAACAAAAAATTGTTATTTTGATTTATTTGATTAATGCGAGAAACAATTTACTTTGTAAGCATTGAACGCTAAGATTACACTTTGTAAATGTTTCAAAACTTTTTAAAATGAATTTAAAATAATAAATAAATTAAGATAAGTAGAAAACAGAATTAGTTGAAATAAATAAGATTATGATGTAGGTCACAAGGTTATTGTGTAGGTATAAACATCATAAAATGAGAATAAACTAAAAGGTGTCACAAAAAAAGTTGCACAGAAATTTCTATAGCTAAAAAAATATCTTTTCGCATGGTCTTTAATATTTAAAGTTTATTAATGTTTTTGTATTTAGGAACACTTTATAATCATTATAAAATAGAGAAAGAAAACCTTATGTAAAGATAGATAAGAGATTTTAAAAGTGTAGTTTTTTTAAAGACTTACTTAGCAAGTTGTTTTTGAAATATTTATTTCAATTTAAATTCATAAGCCACAGTCAACCTCTGGCGGTTACAAAGTTAAGGTCAAACAAAGCGCTGCTACAATATCACTTCTTTTTTTTTTGAGTTTGTTTAAACATATATTTGTATATTTGTTTTTAAATGCATTTCGTCGTTTAAATTATATAAACATAAAGTTATTTTTTTCTTCTTAGCAATTTATCGTTGATGAAGCAGATGAAAGTGCTTTTAACCAAAACCCTCGAAAGCGTTTTAACGAACCGTTAGCTTTAAAAGTAAAACGAAAAAGAAATGATTCTGCTCCTAGTAGGCGTCCAGTTGGGCGTCCTAATACTCCGCCGCCAAAACTCATATCTTTTTCTAAATTAGAACCCGTTAAAAATATTATAAATCAAGTTATCGATCAAAAGTGTCTTAAACCTGAAGACACCTATGTTAAAAACAATAGCAAAGACTCGAAAGTTGTGAATAAGAAAGACGATAAAAAACTAACATCTATAAGTGTAAACGACCAACTTCGAAAATTACAAAAAATGCATAGAAAGAGAAAAGTTAATAATTTAAATAACGATGAAAAATTAGACACTGAAAGTACTTTAGTTTCTTCCTCGACAAACGTTCCAATTTTTTCTTTAGAGGTTCCCAAAGAATCTCTTATATCAAATGATGTAAATAATCTTTCTAATCATTCTCTAAAACAAGCGAGGTTAGAACTTCAAAAAAAATATCCTGTTAAAATTCGTCTTGAAGTCTGGAAAGCTCTTCGAGAACGGAAAGGTTAACACCCTTCACTTTCATTATCTGATTTTATTCATTTTTTTATTCATATTGTTAATACTCGTTTATGTTTTTTGTTTGTTTATGTATAGTTGAATTTTTTATTTTTAGATTTTCAATTTATACTCAACCTCTTGGAATCATTAAACGTTTCTACTAACGCTAAATTTCTGTTTATTAACGAACTTATAGACGAAAGTAATAGATTTCAATTGCATAGTCTTGTAAAGAAGCTTGAGACTTTACTTCAAAATTTAGTAATATCTGAAAAAAGTTAAAACCTTTTAGCGTGTAGGTGTTTGACACCAAAGGTTAGTCAATGCAAACATAGTCCAACGGATAAAATCTTTTGGAAGACACTTGCAATCAGATGACCAATAGTACTTATGCAGATGATCTATTTTAATCCAAGGTACAATTAGATGGTTGGTATTAAATCATAAAATGCAATCTTCCCTATCGAAAGATAAATGGTAATCGGTAGTTAAATGTTTTTAAAACATGGCTACATCTATTTTAGTTGTGAGAAAAACAAACGTTCTTTAAGTAACTTATACAAATTCTAGTTTTTGTATCAAAACAAAATGTTAACAGCTTAAATTTTAATTTATGTGCTCCATTTTTTTATTTACGGTGCTATAAGCACGAGTAAAACTTCTTGAAGTGTGAACTATTTCAGTTGCGATCATCGGGGGATGGTTGCTTTTCGCAAAAAGTTATGGAAGTTTATTTGTCGTTCTATAAATAGAGTTTGTTTAAAATATTATTGATAAAATATCTATCGAAAAACCGTAATGACTGAGGTTTAGGGGTTTAGTTATTTTAATTACTTGCAAAAAAAATGAACTAAAAGTAAATTAGCGTAGACAAAGCCAAAAAGTAATTTTTATAATTAAAAAATAGAAAGTCTTTTGCCATAAGGTAATATAGTATAATATAGTATGTTGTATAGCAAAAAATTTATCATTTCGAGTAAAATTGGTAAGGGAATATTTTTTTAAGACTTGTTAAATATAAAATAAGTATTAAAAGTTGCTAGACCTGTAACAATTACAGGTTTGATCAGTTCGCTTTTTTTAATTTTTCACACGGGTTACCACCTTTGTGTGATACACCTTAGTCTCCCATCTCGCAAAGGTATTTCTTAATGTGTCAATAAACTTGAAGCTTTTAGCAACTTTTTTATTTGTGTGACTGTATAATGAGCTTTTGTCGATTTGATATGTTAGTCAAAATGACTAGCAAACATTCTCATTTTATTTATGAAAATTTAATTAAAATGTACAATTGTTAAAATAAACATACTATAATAAAATTACTGTAATAATAAAACCGAAAATTATTAAAATAATTAACCTAATAAAAAAATAAAGCTTATTGAAATAATGCGACGTCAGTTATAACGATGTTTTACGTGATCTTCACTCTAAAAGTGTCGTGTGTGTGTGTGTATATATTTATGATTGACCAGATTAATATCTAAATTAAACTTTTACTAATATCTTTGTTTGTTTTTTATTAGGAAAATTTTTAAATTTTCAGTGTTTTTAATTGTTCTTGGTTAAATTTCTAATTTTATTTTTTAACTTTTTAAATGAGATTTTTTTAATTATTTAATTACCGTAACTTTTAAATGAGTCTCGTTTTTATCATTTGTTTTGAAGCAGTGCGGCGATTATAATAAAAATTATAAATAATTTTTTTTTTAAAGTTGCATTTAATTATTATATTTGATAGGCAATTGCGAATGAGGAGGTAAAAACTGCTAGAAACTTAGAATATGACGACGGTATAGTGGGAATCTAAAATTGTTTATGCAGGTGTTGTGGAAGCACTAATAAGGTGTGTCGCTTTCCATATATTTGGTTTAAACCAGGTTTATTAAAACTCGGCCACCAATAAAGTTGATATTATGGACGGTTTATCAAGCTAAACGTTGCCAACTGAATTAGTATCAGCCGAATCTAGATGTGAATTAGTCTAAGCTAAAAACTGACGTTCAGTTAAAGAGCTGATGTCGTTACATTGAAAATTTTTTTATTTTCAAATTTGAAAATTGTTTATATATTTTATATAAATATACTGAAAGTTATATATATATATATATATATATATATATATATATATATATATATATATATATATATATATATATATATATATATAATTTTTTTAACTTTTGGAACCACTATTATTTTGCTCGTTCTTTGCAAATATTGTAGTTGCAAATACTTTAAAAATTTTATAAAAACAAATTTGTTCTGGTATATTACTTAAAATGATTAATTCAATTCGTTTTATTGTTTATTTCTTTTCTTTTTTTAACAAAATTCAACTGAAATTGTTTCAATGTTTATATAATTTTTTATTAGTTCACGCACTCAAAATATAAAATTTTAAATAATTATAACTTCGTTACTAGTGCTTTTATATAATTGTTAGAGAAGCGCAGCGATATTAAAGTGTGATTTATATGAAAACACGATTTTAAGAACGGAAAATCGGGAGAATTCAACTGCACACAAAGAGCAAATAAATATTCTGTTTTTACAAATATCAAAGAATTTTTTCCGCCTCATTCTCCGAACATTTAGAAAAATATTATATAATTTGCAGAGCAATAAAGCTTAGCGATTTTTTCAAAGCTTAATCGGTTTTGAAGATTTTTTTTAAATAATAATACTTCATGAAATAATACTCGAAATATACTTATTAGATTCTGATTTTGTATTAAATCCTATCTGTCTTTTAGACTAAATTGTTGACGCGGTATAAAATTTATACGTTATTGTTTTTTCAGTAAAACCGCAGCTTCGGAACAACTTCTTGAACATTGTTTCGACAAACGCTAACAAACAATGCTCAAAGTTGAATGAAGCATTCAACTCAATAACAAATATCTATAATAAATTGAATTACTAAAAGCCGATGAATAAACTTGATCAGAACAGGTCCTATATTCATTTGAAGCGCACCACCATCAATTGAGACCATTCAAATTAAACAGTAGGTCATTGAAAAACCTTTATTCATGGCATTGTTTCGCAAACAATGAACAAAGAGCTAAAAAATTATTTTACAATGCTTTGAAACGGAGCTTGTTTCTAACGCTTGTTTATGTTCATTCGAATTTTTTCAGCTCAGTTTTTGTTTTAAAATTGGACGTCAGCTTTTATTGTCCTAAAAGAACAAAAAGGTAATTTTTATTTAAAAAAAAAATTTGGGCTTACAATAGTACAATAGTATGGAACGAAATCGCCACACTGTTTCTATTGTTAGCTTTTTTAGAACGGTAAATTAATGGATAAGTCTTTCAATTTTTTATTGAACCGAATACGTTTTATAGCTGTATTTACACCGGGTTTATTATATTTATCGTATTTATAATATTCTGTTTACTGGGATTATCAGCGGGATTATCTGTTACTTTATATACAAGATCATTTAAAAAGTTGATAGCGAGTAATTTTATTCATCATTAGAGAAATTACTTTAGCCATTATTAGCAAGTTGGGTTTGGAAGTGATTTGTTAAGAAATTAATGAGTTAAAAAATGTTTAAAAGTAAAAAACATTTTTTTAATAAATGTATTCAAGGATGTAAGTAACAGTTAACTAATCATCAGCATGTTAAATAGAAGCTTTAGATACCTGTCTTTTAGACTAAATTGTTGACACGGTATAAAATTTATACAATATTGATTTTTGAGTAAAACTATACAAACGCGAATACACACATTCAAAAACGATCTAAAATGTTGAAATGTAACACTATTCATTTTTGAGGACATGATTAAATTTATTTTAGATTAGATAAAAAAGGTTTTACAAACTCATTGCCCTCATATTTAGGGTTATGTTAAAATCTTAGATATGTTTTTGATCTAGACTTCACCATTGCTATTTTTAACAAACATACTATACACATATATTATGTTTTAGATCTTATATTAATGACCTTAATATTATATAATATATTTATATAATTTTCACAAGTGCTTGTCTTGTAATGCGGTGATATTAAATAACATTGGGTAATAAATTTTTCATAAATTTTTATGAGATTCATTTTCTTTTGTTTGGTTGCTTTTCTTCTTATTTTAAAAAGATGACAAGAATTCTTATGGGAGAGGGAAAAACTATTTTAAAGGTTATGGTTAGTGTTCAACTTGAATATGTGTAAACTACAGCATCGTCAATCGTATTGTATTAGTTAGAATTATCGCATGTGTAAATCCATGGTTGGATTTTTAATTTATTATCAGAAGTGTAAATCCATGGTTGGATTTTTTATTTATTAACAGAAGTGTAAATCCATGGTTGGATCTTTTATTTGTTATCAGAAGTGTAAATCCATGGTTGGATCTTTTATTTGTTATCAGAAGTGTAAATCCATGGTTGGATCTTTTATTTGTTTCTAATTTTTTAAATCTGCATAATCTTGTTACAACATGAATTATGAAAAATGCTTCATGAAGTAGCATTAAAAGTATTTAAAAGACATTTTTAAATAATTTTGGGAAATAAATTTGATCTTATTTTTAATTTTTTCTTTAAAAGTTTCTTTTTTATATCTTAAATTCTTTATTTATTACATTCTTTAAACACGCAATTTTTAAGAAACACTCTTTATCTCTTATAGAGGCACTATGGAAGAAATCTACTTTTCTAGTAACGCCTTGCCATTAGAGTTATACCCTCTCTTGGTGCAAACAGTTTATAAATTTATTTGAAAATTTAACTGATTTTGTTTTGTTTTGCATGCAAACATGCTCTATTGTTTCCAAAGAGCGGTTTGTCGAGTTTATAATACCATAATGAAAGAAAAGAAAAAATGTTATGATAGCCTAATAACAAAAGATCCAATACTTAAAACTTTTCGACCTTGAGATTTTGTTAATCTATTTACATATTTACGAATAATAGAATAGTGAAGTTAAAACATGACAGCTAAATAAAGAGAAATGTTTATGGATAACTGTGTGTTAGAAATCATACGCAAAATCTGTGAGGTGAAAAATAGAACGGAAAATAAGGTAACTTTATTATTTGATTCTGAATATGCATTTTAAATGAACTTTTTTTCTTATCTTCAGTATTCAAACAAACTTTCTTTTTAAAAAACCCCTAGGGTAAGTAAAATTTAAAAAAATTACCAAATATAAAATGCGTAATGCATGATGAATCGATAATATAAATATTCTGAAACTTTCTAATAAATAATTTTTTCAAGTCTTTTATACTGTGACGCAAAAATAGGAAAAAGGACAGAACGCCCCCCTCTACCTAAGAAATTATTAGCCGCAGGAGAAGCTTATTATTTATCCTATTTAGTTATTTTTTTCCATCTTATATTGCTCAGTTTTCTTAGGTCAGTGGAACTAAAGAAAATAATAAATTAATTGCAACAGAAAAATTTTAAAAAAATCACTTGTTAATTTGAATAACTTTATACAATGAAAAAATCTCTTACGCTAAATCTATTAAAGTATGTTTATTTGGTTTTAGTTTATAGAATATTTAGTATATATAATAGTTTGTGCCCGATTGTCATCATTTACGTACCCAATTGTTTACTGCGATTTTGCTTTTAACAAAAAAAACAGCAATAACGTAGAAACCACTTATACCGATTTGCAGATGCTTATACAGACTAGGCTTCTCATTCTAAATCAGAATAAAAACTAACTTATTTCATTGACTTCATTCTAACTTTTCCCCCAAACTTCTTTTCAACGTCTCTATTTCTGTATGTCTTTTTATAAATCTCTTTAACATAGTTTTATTGTTTTTTTTTTTGAAAAGAATAAAAATACCGTACATATACATGCTCAACTAACTGAACCTCGCAACTATTTCTTTTATTTTCGTAAAACATGACTCAATGTGTTTTTCCTGTTAAAAAGAGTTGTTGGAATATGGAATACTTTTAGCTTTGTTTACTTCAAATATATTTTAATTAAATGAAGCATAATATATAGTGTTTTGTAGAAGTTTTATATATATATATATATATATATACATATATATATATATATATATATATATATATATATATATATATATATATATATATATATATATATATATATATATATATATAATCAAACTTTTTATTATAAATAATAACAGTAATTATATTAAATTATTATTAACAATATAATAATTATTATAAGTACTATTTTAATTAAAAATTAATTATTGATCTTAAAATTTGCGAAAATAAAATTACAATAAAGTTTTTTTTTGTCTTTTTTTTTTTGTTTTTTTTTTTAACACATAAAATGCACATAACATGATTCTTCTTATGTGATTTATCTATTCTATTGTCTTGATATGTTTTAATGAAGATCGTAAAATCCTTATCGATTAACATTAACCGACTACAATAGAAATTAGTTCAACTTTATTTGTTGTTTTAAATATAACTTTAAATTTATTATTCTAATAAAAAAGAAATTTATAAATATCTTATTTTCTTCAGCTCTGTTGTTTCCTTGATAGTTACTAGTTATGTATTTTTATCGAACTTTTTTTTCTAAGAATAAATCTATAACTTTATTTGTTTAATATTTATTTCTAATTTGCGTTAATTTAAATTTACGGATCTATGAATATAAGATCTATAAAATTTCTTGCAATTATTTCTTTAGCAAAACAACGAAGATTTGTACTTACAAGAATTTTGTCAAAATGGCTTCTGATTTAGATAAACCAAAAGGACATATTAAACGGCCAATGAACTCGTTTATGGTGTGGTCTAGAATGGAGCGAAAACGGATTAGCGAAGCAAACCCCAAAATGCATAATTCCGAAATTTCAAAACAGTTAGGTACTTCTTGGAAAATGCTATCGGAAGAAGATCGAGCGCCATATGCCGAGGAGGCAAAAAGACTTCGAGATTTACACATGTCAGAATATCCAGACTATAAATACCGTCCAAAACGTAAACCAAAAGCCTCTTCAGTAAATCAAGAAAAATTGCCTTCTATTGCACCTAAGCGCCCTAGCAGTATTCCGCTTGCCGATTATACTCAATCTAGATCTGTACCGACAGCTGTACCTGTTTATACTGGCTTTCATCGTAGGACGCCTGAATACCGTCCTCATGCGGGTCCAGAAAACGTAACTACAGTTGTTTACCCTCACTCTCGATATTACCGAACTGATAGTCCAGAAAAAGTCTCTCATACTCACAGTCCATTGGATCATTATCATGGAAGAAGTCCTCCTATACGAATTTATCACAGAAGCCCGCCCTCACCTTATGACTCTCGAGAACATTATTCGCGTTCACGTGAAAATCAAAGAGAATCCTTAGGTATTCGCCCAAGAAGTCGTAGTCCAGTAACTCGTTACTATAGTTACGATGAAGATATTGCAGATCCAAAATCTGATTATGAAGATGGAGATGCAAAATATCACCAAAAATTAAGTGCAGAAAAAAAGAGAAAAGGTGTCGATGATTTACTAGGTGAAAAAATGCGTGCAAAAGCCAGAGCCGAACAAATAAAACATTGGGAAAATGATAAAGGTTATAATGGCTATGATGAATACACAAAATATAGTCCTGAATTTCTCAGTAAATCATATGTTGTACCGATTCCAGTTATGGTTCATAGAAGAGGATCTCCTCACCACATGGTTCATACTAACAAAAATGAAGTTTGTCGTGAAGAGTGCTGCATTGTTCCTGCAGTCCGTTACCTTCCTCATAGCTACCATCATCATCATAACTACCATGATATAAGAGCATACGAAAATCATCCAAAACATTGTTTTTGTTCTGAATGTAAAAGGATATCTCCTAAATCCAAAAGATATTCAACGGTTCAAAGTTATTCCGTTGATGAGTGTACCCCTCATCAAAATATGATAGAGAAAAAACTTTCTATGACAGAAAGAGAAATTTCTAAAAACGAGACAAGCGATGACAGCGATTCTAGTGTTAAAATTAATTCTAACGTTAAAATTGAAGGAAAAGCTCTAGAGCAATCAAATAATCAAATAAAAGCTATGTAGTAGTTAACTGAGACATTTTAATAGCTTATATTTCTTAATAAAATAAATGTGAAATAAGTCAAGATAAGTCAAAAAGGAGCTAGTAAAAAAAGTTCCTAGGACCACACGAAGCCAATCAATTAACAATCTTACAGTAAAAAAAAAACGAGTTAAAGTTTTGTAAATAGGTGATAAAAATTTTTATCATAAATATATATATGTATATATATAAATAGAAAAAAAACTTTTTTTGTAATGTTTGTTTTGGTTATTAAATATAAGTATATTTTTAAAAATGAACATTAATAAAGGAAAAAGTTATTTTAAAAAAAAATAATTTTAAATCATTTTAAATTTTATAAATAAGATTCAGTTTTAAATTTTTACTTAATAAGTCTAAATTTTTTATTATTTTTTTTCAAAATTAAAAAACCATAACTTTAACTATATAATCTTAAAAAATATAATTAAAAAAGTCTTACACAAAATTAAATCAAATATATTCTGAATAAAGTTGATTTTTTATTATATTTATCAAAGATATTTACAAATTGTAATAAGTACTAAACTGGGAGTAAACACCCGTCAAAGTCAATGAAAATAAAAATAGTCATTAATAATAAAAAAGTATATAACAATTATGATACGAGTAGGAATGATAGAAGTGATTTTAAAACGTATGTACTATATTATATGATGATATAATAATATGATTATACAATATTATATAATGATATAATAATATGATTATACAATAATAATGATAATTTAACAAGAACAATAATATATCAGTAAGAATAATAAAATTTATTATGATAAAAATATAGCAATAACAATAATGATGAAGAGAATACTAATAAAAGTATTTCAGTTAAAAAAAAGATTAAAATAATAGATGTAATAAAAGATATTTTAATTAGTATTATAACACAACAGAAAAGAGAAAATTATTGGATAAATAGATTTATAAACAATATTTTTCTAAAAAATGGTTAAAGAAAGCAGTTTTAAATTTTAAGAGTGATTTTAAAGATTTTAATTCGGGATTTTAGAGATTTTAATTCGGGATTTGGGAATTTTAATTGTTCCATGTTTCTATGCTTTTATGTTGTATGGTTTCGTAGTCATAATGAAAAGTTCAATATGTAGGTAAACACTTAGTTGTAAGCAGATCGTAGAATTTAATTACAATTTTCACTATAATTAAAAAAAGTTGATAAATGTAAAAATAGATATTATGATTTTGGTTCCAAACAAATATGATAGCTAAATAAAATCACACAATTTAAAGAATTTGAATAAAAAATAAAGAATGCTACAGTTTATTGTTTTACAGTTTTCATTACACAATGCAATTGAGTATGTTAGAAATAATTTAATTTTAGAATTTTATTCTGAAGATGAGTTACTCTTTTATTCTGTAAATGAGTTACTCTTAAAACAATAACCATTTAAATTTGCCCTCAAACTTGACAAACATATCTGAGATAAGAGAGAAAAATAGCATGATATATGTTTAGCAAAGTTTCACGATTAATATAACGATTTTAGTTTACATGTCGTTTGATCTGCCTCATTTCAATGCTAATTCTTAAAGGTGCCATGCAAAAGATAAGAGTCTACTTTGATTCCAAGATATTTATAGAGTTAACTAAATTTATTTTCTGCCACTCAAAAATTTTGTTGCTTATTTATTTTTGTTTGAACATTTAAATATATATCCGTATATATAGGGTTGCTAGACATCCAGCTTTTACGAAGAACTCAGTAAAAAATTTTGTTTGTACAGGTTTGGCGCTGTAATCTCCTCCGTAAAAGCTGGGCGTCTGGCAACCCTATGTATATATATATATATATATATATATATATATATATATATATATATATATATATATATATATATATAATATATATATATATATATATATATATATATATATATATATATATATATATATATATATATATATATATATATATATATACACACATATATATATATATATATATATATATACACACATATATATATATACACACACACACATATATATATATATATATACACATATATATCAGCCTTCAGAATTAGGAATGACATTTGGCAATGTCAACCTAACTGCTGACCTAAAAGTGTTTGAGGTGGGCAAAAATTTGCTGACCTTGTTTTTATGTTTTATGGTAACCTCTTTGTGCCAAATTTTTTTAGCCAACCTGATCCGACCTTAACTGTTTGAGGTCAGCAATTTATTGCCCATATCATTTTTCGTAATTCCGAAGGATATATATATATATATATATATCCTTATTTATATCCTTATAAATATATATAAATACACTAGTATGATCTGAGATGATATACAACTTTTAACATTCTCTACTATTTTATTATTTATCTTTTTATTTTCGGCAAAATTTTTAAAAATAGAAACTTTTTTCTTAGTTTTAACAATAAAAGTTATATTTTCAAAACTTGTTTGTGTTATCTTAGTTAACAATTAGGAGAGTTTTTAATTTTACTCTGATCGTTAATTAAATAACCTTAAACTGCGTTAGCCAAAAAAACATCGGTTGCCAATGTTACCACAATGAGTACTCTTTAAATCAAGACATTGTGACTACAGAACGGAAATTGTGACGTCGTACATTAAAAATTGCGCTTTAGTATGCTTGTTGTGCTTTTAAAAGAGATATGGAGCAAGTTAGAATAAATAGTTGTAGGAGTTTAGAAATATTGAGATCCGTGATTTTAATTTGCGGAAAATATACTTTATGCAATTTGCAGATAAATACTTACAATTCTCAAAAGATCAAATGGTTTGTGATTTTGCTACTTGTAAAGTTGCTTATTTTAATACAGTTGATACAAAGCTTGGATAAACTAAGACAAATCCCTTGCCTTTAATTTTTAAATACAGTTTGAATAAACCGAGAATAAGACTCCTTTTCCTTTAGGAAAACTTCTAGAATAAATTTTTACTGTATTGTTACTAAGGTAAAGTATATCGAGGATGATGGCAGCCAAAAACAAGAATTTGTTATCAAGGGGCGGCAATAATCTTGAAAATTATGACCATATGAATTTTAAACTTCAATTTTAGCTTCAAATTTTTAAATTTAAAATCCTCTTATCTTCCCCACCATTCCCCTGCGAATTTAATACGTCTC